CCTGATGTCTTAGCTTAATAGTCCACTGTGGCCCTATCAAATCAGGCATCCGAATCATCCCCTATACCTAACTGGTGAATTCTCTCCTGCCTCTTTTCCACATTATCTACTGTGTGGTGAGTATACTGGCACAGAATAGCTGCCGTGGCATCATCCAGGCGGGTTGCTGAAGGGTCCCCAGGGCTTTGGGTATTGTGAAAAGCACTGTATAAATGCAACTTTCATACATTCATACCCCCCCAAATAGACATTCTGTAGCTCACCTTCTGCAGATGTTTGATCTCCTGCTGTCTGGCATGAAGAACCTCCAGCGCCAACTCGTGGTCTTTCTCCAGCTGCTGTTGCCTCTCTGCAGCCTCATGCATATGCTGGGGAGAGGGTAAGGGAAGCGGGAGAAGCGGGGGCAGCGGGGGTGGGGTCAGTAAGCATGGAGTGTGTCCCAGTGTCTATCCCACTGCCAGACACTATGCTGACCCCCTGAGGCTGGGGGATGTATTTCCACCTGCTCCAGCTGCTGTAGCCTGCTCTGCAGCTGGCTCCTCTCCCTCAGGGCAGAATCTCTCTCCTGAATCACAGAGGTACAGGTCTCCCTGAGCTGCTCATAGTCTGACTTCACCTGCAGGTAGAAAGGTTGCCGGATCACCCAGACACCACGTGAGAACCACAGCCAGACACCACGTGAGAACCACAGCCAGACACCACGTGAGAACCACAGCCAGACACCACGTGGGAACCACAGCCAGACACCATGTGAGAACCACAGTAGAACCAGATGCGAAGAGCTTCTGACAAGCACATCACCTGATGATATCAAAAGCAGGTAATATGCCACCTGTCACCTATCACCTGGATCTATGTCACCTGCTTCTCACAAATGTATTACATCAGTGATTCTCACCCGCTCATACTGCGAAGCCCTCTGGATCTGGCTGGAGAGCTCTTGGTTCAGACGACTCTTCTCCTGCAGGGCTTGTTGAAGCTCATTCTTCTACAGATGGAAATGGAGACAAGCTTACAAGCTTGATCTCTTCACACAGGAAGTCATTCTACTGCCATCAGATAAATTCATTTGTCAATAATTGCTTAAAAGAGATGAGAAGCAGGAGAAGCATCTCAAAAGCACAGTAACTTCTACAGGTGTTGGCTGAGACTGCGGCCCAGTGTGAAGGAGGAAACAGGCATGGGGGTGGGGGGAGGAGAAAGTAACAATTTCCATGCCAACCACCAGCCCATAACCATCCTGTGCTGCATGAAAAATGATCTATAAGTCTAATGGAATCAGCCTCCCTCAGTCAGACCATCCTCCCCAGTGGGATCAGTCTCCCCCAACAGGATCAGCCTCCCCAGAGGGATCAGCCCTTCCATAGCGGGATCAGCCTCCCCCAGAGGGATCAGCCTTCTATAACAGAATCAGCCTCCCTCGGTGGGATCAGCCCTTCCATAGCGGGATCAGCCTCCCCCAACAGGATCAGCCTTCCATAACGGAATCAGCCTCCCTCAGCGGGATCAGCCCTTCCATAGCGAGATCAGCCTCCCCCAGCGGGATCAGCCTTCTCAGTGAGTTGAGAGCTGAGCTATATGGTCAGCAAGCCAGCTGCCAAAGCCAAGTGCAGGCGTGCGGGAGGAGGCACACTGTCACACGCTCCCACGAACACAGCAAACGGCGCGGGACGGCACTTCAGCACACGCTCCCACGAACACGGCAAACGGCGCGGGACGGCACTTCAGCACACGCTCCCACGAACACGGCAAACGGTGCGGGACAGCACTTCAGCACACGCTCACACGAACACGGCAAACGGCGCGGGACAGCACTTC